CACTCACACAGAAGAAATTCCATACTTCCATTCTGTTCGTGTGGCCGTGAGTGTGCTCGTGGCTCTGAGGTTACTGCCTGCGCCGCTGTGCGTATGGCGTATGGCGCATGCGTAAAACGGACCCGTTCGGTATTGGAAATACATGAGACTGATCAGTCGATCTCCGGTCCGGGCAGAGGACGCTGAAAATCGGTGGATTCAGGTGCCTGGCCGGTCGGTCGGTGCATCTCTATTTACAGTAAAACTGGTCTAAGTCGCCGGCTTGTAACTCGTCAATGTCCACAAGTCGACGCTCAAGCAAAAGTCCTGATTTTTCCTAATGATGTTTCAATTCTCTAAGTCGTCACTTTTAAGCTGGTCCCGCGAGTGTCGACTTAGACCGGTTTTACTGTATTTGTAATCCATTTTACATGTATGACCGGTGGCAGAATCAAGCTGTTCGTAAGGCAGGGGCAAAAAGAATAAAAGGGGCACTTATTGCATAATGTGCATCATCCCCCCCAAGTATAATAATATGCTATGTATGGTGGTCTTCTCGCATGTGTAAGAAACTGCATGTCATAGTTGGACACCAATCAGCGATATTGTTCTCTCCATCACAAGCGCAATTTTCCCATGTTTGCTCACTCGGGAGGACAGGGCACTGCATGAGCTACTTTCTAAGGGAAACACCTCAAGTTTACCCAGTTATATTACCTTATATGGCACTGCATCACATTCTATCCACTGGAGGTGCTTCCCTTAGGACAATCCCCCACATTCTCACACATGGACGGACACCCTATACAGCAATGATTTACACTTTACCCCCTGGAGGGGCAGCTGTTTCGGCACTTCATCACAATTTCTTGTCTCGTTTGAGACTATGCGTACCCTTTATAGTAGAGATCCCAACTCCCAGATCGTAGACCGGTACTGATTCTTGCCCAGTATTCCACGGGGCCACAGAAAGTTGGGGTTTTGAGGAGGGGTTGCTTAATTTCCAATTTTTCAAATATTTTGAATTTTTTGTGAACCATCCATGTTCGCATCTGCAAAAAAAATGAAAAAGGTGAGACTGCCAGTCAATCTCAAATTTTGTCCATTAGAAGGGCACTCAGTAAGACACTCCCTCACATTTTGTCCATTAGAAGGGCACTCAGTGAGTCACTCCCTCACGTTTTGTCCATTAGAAGGGCACTCACTGAGACACTCCCTCACGTTTTCTTCATTGGAAGGGCACTCAGTGAGACACTCCCTCACGTTTTCTCCATTAGAAGGGCACTCAGTGAGACACTCCCTCACGTTTTC